ACACGTGTCAGAGGTGACACGCGAACTCATTTTTTTGGTTGATTTTTCTGTTAAATGGCATTTAAATATATAAAATAAATATTAAAAATATAAATCTTTGTTTTACTATGGTTGCAAATATCAAAGAATTTCTATATGTGACCCAGCACCAGAGTTAAGTTAGGGTTTTTCAAAATGCTGACACGCCGAGCTCAAAAGGTTCGCCATCACTGATTTAGGTTGATGATTTCTCCCCTGGGAGGAGAAACAGTGCCATTGGCTAGACTTGCGGGGAGAGAAACTGCAGGGAAAGGAAATCCTAAATGTTGGGAATTCAGAGGCCCTGGTGGGGAGGGGCGGGGGGCGGGTTTCCTGCTTCTGTTCTCCAGGCCTCACGGTGTCTCCCCCCACAGGTGAATGAGGCCTCTGGGGATGGAGAGGATGCCATTGTGATCCTGGAGAAGACACCATTCCAGGTGGAACAGGTGGCCCAGCTCCTGACGGGCAGCCCCGAGCTCCAGTTGCAGTTCTCCAATGATATTTACAGCACCTATCACCTGTTTCCTCCGAGGCAGCTGAGTGGTGAGCAAGTGGCGGCCCAGGTGGCTGCCTGTGGGGAGAGCAGGGTGGTGGGACATTAGGGAGGGGTGGCTACTCTCCATAACTGATTTGCATATTCTAGTGCAATAGTTCTCAATGGAAGGAAGAGGTCATTTTGGCCCCCCGGGAGACATTGGACAATCTCAGAATGACAATTTTTGGTTGTCAGAATTGGGGAGGTGGGGGTTGCTGCTGGCACCTGGAGGGTAGAGGCCAGGGATGCTGCTAAATGTCCTATAAAACACAGGATGGGCCCCCACAACCAGAAATGGCAGTAGTGTCAAGGTTGAGAAACTGTGCTCTGGTGTAGTCTGTTTTGAGGAGGAAGTGTGATTCATGGGAGAGAACAGGTTCGTATACTAACTGAATAATAATGAATGTCAGTACTTACTAAATCCTTACATTGTGCTAGCCACCATTCTAAGTGCTCTTTTTTTAAAAAAAATATATTTTATTGATTTTTTACAGAGAGGAAGGGAGAGAGAGAGAGTTAGAAACATCGATGAGAGAGAAACATCGATGAGCCGCCTCCTGCACATCTCCTACTGGGAATGTGCCCGCAACCCAGGTATAGGCCCTTGACCGGAATCGAACCTGGGACACTTCAGTCCGCAGGCCGACGCTCAGTCCACTGAGCCAAACCGGTTTCGGCTCTAAGTGCTCTTTATCGTCATATTTTATCCTCAGAATAGCCTTGTGGTGATAGGACTTTACAGGTGAGGGAACTGAGGTTTTGGAAGGTTGAGCAACTCGGCCAAGATCACACAGCCAACAGGGACCCGAAACACTGAGATCTCCCAGTAGCTGAGGACTTGCTCACCACACTTGGTGAAATGAGCAGTGTGCTGGGTCACTTCCCTAAAGGAACTCACTTTCTAGTAGGGGAGACCATGAGTGTGATTGAGGGGGATGGACTTGAGAAGGACAGGAATTCAAGGGTTAAAAGACAGATTTGTGGGGGAGTTTTGTTTGTTTGTTTGTGTTTACCTTTTTTTAGAGAGAGAAACATTGATGTGCAGTTGCCTTTCATAGGAGCCCTGACCCAGGATTGAACCTGCGAACTGGGTATGTGTCCTGACTGGGAATCGAACCCACCGCCTTTTGGTGTAGGGGACAGCGCTTCAACCAGCTGAGCCACACCAGCCAGGGCCAGAGATTTGTTTTTGATTGCAAGTATTTTTATTTTTATTTTCTTTCATCTTCACTCAAGGATATGCTTTTCATTGATTCTAGAGAGAGGAAGGGAGAGGGGGAGAGAGAGAGAACTATCGATTGGTTGCCTCCCACATGCATCCTGACTGGGGATTGGCTCCGCAAGCTGGGTCCATGCCCTGATGGGAATTGAACCTGAGACCCTTTGGTGCACAGGACGATGCTCCAACCACTGAGCACACCAGCCAGGACACAAGTATAATTCATTGAAAAGAGGGAAAAATAAGAATATTCCATGCCAAAAGCCAGGCATGAGGTGAACTTCTTCTTTCTATGGTTAGATTGAGTAGGCCGCTTTGTCGGAAGTGTGAAGGAGACAGGTTGACCTTGAAGTACCTCTTGACCAGGAAATGCTGGGATCTGCTTTGCAGCACATACCCATCTGCCTTTTTATTTGCCTTCTGGCATTTAAGAACAGTTTGGCTTTACGGATATCCTGCCACAGCCTTTCTGATAGATTTAGTCTTTTCCGCACCCCACGAAAGGGTGCTGTTGTTGGCCTTTGGAGATATATGTGAATACTTGATGTGAGACAAGCAAAGCTTCACAACTGCCAGCAAAACAGCCTGGTCCTCCATTGAGGGAAAGCCAGATTGATTGGCTCAACTTGACAGAAATGGACAGCTGTATTTACTTTCTCGGGCATGGACCTTTAAGCAAATAGATCCTTCAACTCGGAGAGGCAGAAGCATGACAGAAGGCACTGTCGCCAGACAGCACCTGGGGTTCTGGGGTGTTTATTCTGCTGTCACCCCTTCCCCTGGCCTCCCCGCATCCCTGCATCTACCCTTCCCAACCCTCAGCCAAAATGAAGGTCTCCACAGAGCAGCTCTGTAGAATTCACAGCTTTTTCTTATTTTATTTTTCCAGTACTTCTCTGGTATTGCACAAAGTGATGATGGCCCCTCCTTATCTTTGTCGTTTTTTTCCTTAAATTAAGTCGGGAAAGGGACAGTCAGTTACCCGTTCACCACAGGCCCTCTTCCCCATTCGGAGCCCCAGGATCTCTGCCTTTCCCCCAGCACAGCCCGCTCCCACCGGGTGCCTCAGATGTTAGCTCATTTCCAGCGCTGCCTTCTGAGCATAAGTGCTCGCATGCATGCGGTGTGGTCCACTTTGTTCTCCCTGCCCAGACAAAGTCATAACAGTTTGTTCCGAGCTGTCCTCTCTCTCTCCTTGTTTAGCTATACGTCCTGTCCCTAGATGAGCTTCTTGGCAAACTGGACAGGCCAGAGAACAAGTGTTTTAAGCTTATGAGCCACAAATGGCCTCTGTCACATACTCCCTTTCTTAATTGATTTTTAGAGAGAGAAAGAGAAACATCAACTTGTTGTTCCATTTATTCATGCATTCGTTAGTTGTTTCTTGTATGTGCCCTGACTGGTCATTGACCCCAAAACCTTGGCATTTCAGGACAACGCTCAATCCAGCTGAGCTACCCGGCCAGGGCTCTCCTTTTTCTTTTTCTTAACGCCTTTAAAAATGAAAATACTGCTCTTAGCTGGGCCAGGTTCGACCTTCTGGCCAGTTTGTCAACCCCTGGTTCAGATTTTTCCCACTCAGAATGTGATCTGTGGACCAGCAGTGTTGGTATCCCCTGGGAGCTGTCAGACACACGGAATCTCAGGTCCCCACTGCAGACCTCAGAATCTGCATATGAGCAAACCCCCAGGGGACTCATGCACGTTAAAATTTGAGGGCACTGGTCTCTAATCATCACCTGTGTGCGGGTGATACCCATGTTTACTTCTCTACCCATGACCTTTCCAAGAACCCCAGGCTCATACTGTAATGAACGCCTACTGGGCATCTCCATTGGGAAGTCACAGAGGTACCAGGTAGGCAAGATGTGAGGCTCCGATGCACTCTGCATGTCAGAGTACTTCGCACGTGCTAAGTAGTAGCTGCCGTCGTTACTCTGATGCGCTGGGCCCTCTGCTGGGTACTGGAGCTTCAGAGATGAGTGAGACACGTCTTTGTCCTCACAGTCTTGCTATGAAAAGAGGGAAGTAAACTCAACAGGGCTTGGTCATTGCCTGGCTGTAGGGAACCAAGGTCGTTGAGAGTTGGGGCATGTCAGACCGGTTTCCGGTCCTCGGCGGCCAGACCCACGTTAGGTGCTCAATAAATGGCTGCTGAAGAATAAAGCCACAAGCTGACCACTGTGTTCTTTCCTGAGGGTCAAGCACTCCACAGCCACGAGGGGGCAGCATTGCCAAAGCATTCCAGAGCCAGCTCCTCGGCTCCTCGGCTCCTTTGGCCTCCGGTACCAGAGCCTTTCAGTCCTGACTCTCCCATCTCATTCTGAGTCACCAGCTCTTCCCACTGCCAGGGGGGCCTTAAAGTGCCCTTCCACAGCCTCAGCCCTCTGAACCCCTGCACAGTTGCCCCTTGAATTTCCCGGCTTTCTCCAGCTGCTTCTCTAGACCTTCCCAAAAGAGGTGTCTGGGGGAGCTCCCCCACCCCCATTTCTGAGCTGGTAGCTCTCCTTGTTTCTTCTGGTATTTCTCTGGTCACTGGCACATTTCTCCTTTAGCTTGGAGGTTTTGCAGTCTTCTCCTTTATCCCCTCCAAATCTAAGCTGGCCACGAGTGGCTACTCCCCTCTCCGTTGACATGGGAGAGCATGGGCATGCGAGGCAGACATGCGGGGTCCTGTCCGAGCGCTAACACTGACCAGCAGTGGGAGCCGAGGCAACGTGCTGTTCAGGTTTCAGCGATCTGCAGGGGCTACGCAAGCCTCGGGGCAGACATGGCTGGGCTGGGATTCTGCTTTGCCCTTTACTAACGGTGAGGAGTTGGGAAGTTTCTGTGCTCGTGTAACAGACGAGCGCCTGGTGCTGCGCTGGATGCCATGTGCGTTGGGAGTCCATCAGGTCGCATCGCTGTCTGGAGCCCTGTGGTGAGGCAGACGGCCAACCAGGAAACAGGTCACTGTGGCCCTGAACGGGAGAGGGCTGCGTGGGCTGGATGTCCAGGAGCCTCTCTGGAGCTGACTCCCAGGCCGAGACCTGGAGGATGGGGAGGAGCCAGCTGTGCAGAGAGCTGGTGGGGGGGCGAGGAGAATGTCCCGGGCTGAGGGAATGGCCCGTGTTCTGGGGGAGGAAAGAGAAGTAGAAAGGAGGCCGTTGTGTTGGGAGCCTGGAGGGGCAGCTGGTATCCATGGTGTGGGGTGCAGATGAGTTTGGGGAAGTACTTGTTAAACTTGTTTAGCAACTGAACATACCTCAGGATGATTACGGCAAAAATAAGAAAGAACAATTTTTTTGGTTTAGCCTCTGCCCACAGTGAGAAATACATTTTACATCGTCACCCAGTACCTGTGAATAAATACACAGGTTTGCAAAAACACTTCCCTTACTTTGTGGGATGCTCTCTAGTTTTCTCATTTAATTCCAGTCTTGTGTGTTTCCCTTTTTAAAAAATTCTAGTCGTAACCTTCTAAATGAATTTCATCACCGCTGTGAGTTATGACCCATTGGGAGAAGGCGTAGAAGGCACTTAGCACAGCGGCTGGCATGCGGTGTGTATTGGACGTGTTAGTCATTTTCTATTACTGTTACGCCTTTAAAATTCTATGAGCCTTAAGTGGAGCAACATATGCAGCATATGGAAATGCCAGCCCTGACCATGGGCAGGTGTCCTTTCTTCCCCCTGTGGCCATATGGCAAATGTGAGGACCGGGTGGGCTGGGCGGCTGGCATCTTAGTGCTGCTTCTGGCCAGCAGGCAGGGCAGAGCCTGGATCACCTCCTGCGGCTTCCGCTCTCAC